CCAGCGCTAGATCCACTGCCTTTAGCTGTGCAACTCCATACATCTTGTGTGCATAGCAAAGTTCAACTTTGCATGGCAAAGCCGACTCACAGTGGTCTTGAAGGAGGAGCTGTTGAAGACAGTACCCCGTCCCTGAGGAACTTACTCTTGCCTCTTGCCTCCAGGCGAGGTCATAGCGCATTCCCCAAAAAAGTTACTGCGTACCCAACTCAAAAACCTAACTGAAAAAAATAAAACACTCGAAAATATAAAACTGTCCTTCCACAAGGAGGTAGCTTCGGACTACCCACTCTTATAATTAGTTGAAGGAAGACAGATATAAGTCTGATTCAAGCATATTGCTTACTAGGCCTATAAAGATTATTGTAATACAATTAACTTTATTACTAATTCAACTGAATACAGCTGTCCAAATTATGTAAAGAATAAAAGAAAAGGAGTGAATAAAAATTTTAAAATCTATCCTTAAATAAAAGTGAAACATTGAGTCGACGCCATCCGCACAGCAAAGAGAAATACAAATTTTCCTGAGGTAGTAACTGTCATATTTCATGTTGTCATAAGTCCCTAATTCCAAAATTTAGTAAAAAATCCTTCCGCTGGATTTTGAGATATCCCAAGTAGCAGAAAAACGAGAGAAAAATTGTTTTAATATCAATTATAAGTTATAAGTTTTAAACTTATATTAAAACTGTTATTAATATGAGTATAGTTGACAACCGGCACATTTTATAATAGTTCAAAAACTGTTTTACAACTTATATTGCAACAACTTTACAAAAATTGTACAACAATTTAAAATTTACTTTACAACAAGTTAAAAATTGTTTTCACATAGGGCCAACCATCCCATGGGGATATATACATAAGACACAAAATAATAAAGATTTTGTATGAAATGAATTTTTATCAGTTATTATCAGTTATTTTGATTAAATAGTTCATAAAAACAAATTTTGATAAATAGCTAGAAAAAAAGTTTCTTCCCCCAATGGGTCTTGAACCTAAGACCTCCTACTATGCTCCAATTGCCCTACCCCTGAGCTATCTGTGATTGTTGAAATTAGATGTTTTTAATTGGTCAAAGAGGAGCTGACAGTTGCAATGGTTGCAATACTTTAAATATTTTGATACTATGATTATGTTGTATATCAAGTTGTTGAATTGTTTTTCTGGGAGTTGAGGAGGATACCGGTATTTGAATACAGATGAATTAATTAACATTACTAATGTTAATTCCTAAATTGTTCAACTATTAAAAATTTTTGAAATAAGATGAAGGAAATCAAACAAAAAAAGTTTGCATTATTATTATTATTATATGTTAAGCAGGTGTTCCCCCACTGAATCTAGTATTGCAACTAAGTTATCACATTTAACGTCATCCGAAACTTATCACAAAAATCGGTAACTTATGCATTATGAGTTTACCTATTCAAGTTATTCAATATTCATAATGTAATAAGTACTACAAAATTATAAACAATTGTATTTTCATTTAAAAAAAATGCTTTATAAGAAGAGTTAATTTACTACCATGCTTTACCTGCACAATAAACACAATTTTTTACGTATTTTAATCGGTAATTTTCCAATTACTTCATTTAATTTTCAATAAAAAAGTTTAAAACATTATAATCTGTTATTTAAACATGATCCATAAAACCTATTTACCTAGTATATATCCAAATTAAATGAAAGTGAGTTTAAAAACAGGGATACAACCCATTAATTAAGAAAAAATCAATTCATAATATCTTTATTCATTCAACAATACAACAAAATAACAATTGACAAATAATATACATTACATAGAAAAAACATCTCATATTTCAACATAAATAATCAAACAAATTAAACATTTATTTCAAAATTGTTGGAACGAGTATTTTAAGAACTACACAAACAATTGTAAACAATTTTAATATTGTTATCAAAATTGATTTCAAAATTTTATTGTTGAAACTTGTTTTTTTAAGAATAACACAAACAATTGTTATATAGTGCATTGTAAACAATTTAAATATTGTCATTATATGTTTTATCTATGATATTGTTTAACAATTTGTTTTAAAATTGTTTATGACAAAACCTAGTAATAAAACAATTTTAAAATTATTGTAAAATAGTTACAACTCGTATTAAAACTTATTTTTACTTTCTCCCCCTATACCATAACCATAGTATATGGAGAAAGTATTGTTTTCGTCAAAATTTTCGAGTTTGAGTTTTGAGTGGATATATTCGTTTTGGGTCCCCCTGGACCCAAAAAAGTGGTTTTCGAAGTGATGTCTGTGTGTCTGGATGTGTACAGAGCTAGAGACTACACCTGTGGTCCGATTTCGATGAAATTTGGTATGTAGGTTCTAATCCATGGTATCTCCAGGCGTTTTTTTAATTTTTTTGGAATTTTCTCAAAAATGGCCCGAACGATTTTGATAAAAATTTAGTATGTTGTAGTCCTTTAAATTCTGAACAAACTGGTGAAAATCCCATTTCTCTAAAAATTACGGTTCAAAAGTTATGGTAAATTATGTTATTTTCCCATAAAAACCCCATAAAATAACGAAAAATAGGATTTTAGAAAAAAAATCCTGTTTTTATTCAACATAGTATGTTATGGTCCTTACAATTTTGATAGTTTTTTCAATTTTTTAGAAATTTGGATTTTTAATGGGGATTTTCCCATAGCCTAAATCTCCATAAAAAACAGAAAAATAGAATTTTCCCAAAAACGGTCCGAACGATTTTGATAAAAATTTAGTATGTTATGGTCCTTTATATTCTGAAAAAAATGGTGCAAATCCCATTTCTGTAAAAATTACGGTTTAAAAGTTATTTTAAATTATGTTATTTTCCCATAAAAACCCCATAAAATAACGGAAAAATCGGATTTTTCCAAAAATGGCCCGAACAATTTTGATAAAAATTTAAAAGTTTAAACGAGTTTGATAAAAATTTAGTATGTTATAGTCCTTTAAATTCTGAACAAAATTGTACAAATTCCATTTCCGTATATTTACTCTCACCGCTTAGGCCCGTATTACACTATCATAGTTTTTAAGACATATATCTATTATCATATGTCTTTGATGAAAATTATTACAGTGTAATGTACCAACTATTATAATGGTTTTGAACTATGATAATATACAGGGTGTCCATAAAAAACGTTTCAGGACTTTGGGAAATGGATCCCCATACTAAAAGGAAGAAAAAAGTTTATGGGAAGGTATGTCCGAAAATGTATATTTACCCAGATATCCGCCATTTTGTTTTTTATACAAAAATATTTTTATCTGTGAAGTTTTTTATTCGATGATTATGAAATTTGGTAAACATATTAACATACACAAAACCTATAACAGAAAAAATAATAAATTTGTTCCGATTGTAAATTTCAAAATGGTGGCCATTTGAATTTTTCTAACTTAAATAACTCAAAAACGGCTAATTCTATGAAATAATTTCAAGAATACTTTTTTTTAGCATTTTTAATTGCCTATCAATCAGTACCAAGATCAAAAAGATCGGACAAAAGATAACTGAAATATTACGTTTTTTCTGTAAAAATAAGGCAAAAATTAAGGGTTCCCCGACTAACTTTGCCTTATTTTTACAGAAAAAACATAATATTTCAGTTATCTTTTGTCCGATCTTTTTGATCTTGGTATTGTTTGATAGGCAATTAAAAATGCTAAAAAAAGTATTCTTGAAATTTTTTCATAGAATTAGCCGTTTTTGAGTTATTTAAGTTAGAAAAATTCAAATGGCCGCCATTTTGAAATTTACAATCGGAACAAATTTATTATTTTTTCTATTATAGGTCTTGTGTATGTTAATATGTTTACCAAATTTCATAATCATCGAATAAAAAACTTCACAGATAAAAATATTTTTGTATAAAAAACAAAATGGCGGATATCTGGGTAAATATGCATTTTCGGACATACCTTCCCATAAACTTTTTTCTTCCTTTTAGTATCGGGATCCATTTCCCAAAGTCCTGAAACGTTTTTTATGGACACCCTGTATATGTTCTCCTTGAGAGAACATATTATCATATATTTGATAATATAATATGTCATAGAACTATGATAGTGTAATACCGGCCTTACACATGATAATGGTTGTTGACAAACTTATGGGAGAAAGTATGTGTCAGAATGCTGATACCGTTTATTTTATACTGCAAAAAACTGACTGTTAAACAATTTAAAGATTGTTTCAATCTTATATTAAAATTGTTGTAATATGAAGTTTAAATCAAAATGTTTTAAAATTGTTATACAACAATAAACTAAGTTTATGCTACACTGTATTACACTTCACATCCAAATACAGACTTACACCAGACTTCACACTACTTATACTACTGAACTACACCACTCACATTAGAACACAACAGATCAAACTTAGACATCCTACCATACCACATTTCATTATCATTGTTATTGTTATTATTATTCTTATGCCTTGTTTTTGTTATGTCATAGTTTATTATTGTTGATCGATTGTATTGTTGTTATTGCTGATGAAATGTTGTTTTGTTATAATTTAATATTTTGTATTCATATACTGCTGATGAAATGTTGTTTTGTTATAATTTAATATTTTGTATTCATATATTCTATTATAGCCTTAACTGATTGTATTTTGTAAATGGCATTGCCGTGGAAAATAAAATGAAAATGAAAATGAAAATGAAAATAAAATTGTAATACAGGTTTTGACAGTGAAAAAAAAATGGTTTTGCTTATTGGGATAGGCTATATTACAGACAGACTTAGCTCGTACAAGTATAGGATTATTGTCTTATTGTTCTACATTACAGTGTTGAGTGATACAGTTCACTTTAATTTCCATAGGTAGCAGCATCAGTACAGTAAATTCACAGATGCTTCATTGTAGTTGATAACATCTCCACTACGTAGCACTGGGATCTCCGTAGTTTCTCCTTCTTGTTGACCAATCAGAATGCGTTCTCCCAACCGAATGTTGTCAACGACGGTCGACGTCGACGACAACAAGTTCGTGTTCAACTGTATTGTTTCTTGTTCGTTTGTTGCTGTTCGTGTTGTGGAAAGAGACGGTGGTTTCACATCTTGAACGTCAACAACAGTTGTTGCAGCGGAATTTTCGAGTGATAATCTATTACCTGAACTAAGATTTGTATTAGTATTTAGCTCGATTAGTTCGAATGCACGCACGATGTAATTTAGTGAGTTGGGTGACGTACTTTGAAAGTTTTAACGGATCTGGCCGTCAACAGGTGTTACTAACTAAGAACGTTTAAAATCTGGTTTCTAAGAACTAGGTAGCCTATTATAGCGTTTGTTATTGTGTTTAGATTACTGAAAATCATCCAAGTTTGTTTCATAGTGTGTGATGTTTTGTACACTTGACATTAACATAACCTAGATAACTTATTCACAGACGTTGTAGAAACCTAGTTTGTTGAGTGGTAACCTACTTGTCAGGTGCCTTCAGAAAGGTAAATTTATTGACTTTGAACTGTGTCAAGCTACAGCGTGGCCTGAAAATGTCAAAATCAGCCTTTAGAGACGGCATTGGACTCAATGAAAAGCAAAATGGACTCCTCAAAGTGAGTGAAGATGTGCTGTCAACTATAATTAAAAACGAACCCATCTCCAATGTTTATGATGTTGAAGATACACCATTTGCAAGGTAAGACTACCTATCCTAATATTTTCATAATGTTAAATAAGCATGATAGAAATAGGTAGAAGTTCCTAAAAAGGGGAAGCCAACACCTGAGTTTAAAGTTTTAAGTTGTGCTTTTATAATACAAGCCAATAATTTATTATAGGCTAAGTTGATGGCGAAATGATTTAAAACTTCACCACCCAAAGTACTTAAGTTAATTATAAATTCCATTCCCTATACATAAAGCACATGGCTACGGGGTTGCCACCCGTCTTGAATCTGGAAGGACAGTCCCGATTTTGGTTCCTTACTTAAGTAATTAAGTTATGCCTAACTTGTGCTTATGTTAATCCGGGAGGGAGGGGGCCATGTCTCGATTTTTCCCTAAACCTAAGGTTGTAACCCTGCATTTCTACCTTAGTATAAGAACTTGATTTACTCACCTCAAGTTCTTACTTAAAGGTAACTTAGCCAAATCAAGTACAGTACGGTAGGCGTACCAATAATCTACATATGCCTAGACAAAAAGAAAAATTGTAAGTTAATTGTCTGTGTTCAAGTACAAAGCACGTCCGTAAGGTTCGAAGGTAGAAGTCCTCTACTTTTGGTTTGGAAGATGTTGGTTATAGGCCTTTTTAGCGAATTTCCCTATAGGGAAGTAGCTATTACCGTAGGTCTCATGGTAAGACTTAGGCCCGGGACCGATTTACTTTTTCATTTTGATGTCCCCAGAGGCCAAAAACACCATTCGTTCAAATTTATATATATATATATATATATATATATATATATATGTATATGTGTATGTATATGTGTCCGTGAACACGATAACTTGAGTAATTTTTATCCGATTTTGATGAAATTTAGTTTGAAGGCGTAAGGCGGGATAAACTTGAATGAGTTCGCGATCCAGCATGACCGGACCATGGGAACAGGGTTTTATGGGGTAAAAATTGGTTTTTCTCACTTTTGACCCTCAAAACACAAAATTTCCCAATTTTCCTCTAAACCTTCTTAAAGAGCTTAAAAAAAACAAACAATTCAGTATATCAAAGTGCTTTTGTACGGTTATTGGTTACGGAGAAGACTAAAAAAATTGTAAATTTAAAATTCCCATGTTATTCTTATGGAGAATATTGTAAAATATTGTAGTTTGCTTGTTTATGGATATCTTTTGATCAAACTTGGCAAATATATTCATTTTCTACTAAGCAATAATTATTTTACTTAAAACACACACTTTATTAGTTTCCTTGTAGCAGCAAACCTAGGTACTCGTTAAACCTATTGTTATTTAAATAGATCGATTGAAAATCAATTCAGCCAAATGGAAATTCGCTTAGACGGCAGGTTTGCTGCGGCGGGGGTATTATTAATAAGTGCAGTAACAGGTTGGATGGAGCGTTTTAAATTTGTCACAGATAACGAATCCACTATCTTAAGTTAGACTTTTGGATTTTCGTGGGGCATTTATTTTTGATATTCGACCCTGTCGTTTAATCGAACAGTATTTAAGTTATTGATTTGATCGATCGACAGCCTCCAAATTTAACCAAAATTTAACTTTTAACCAGAGAACCAAACTTCCAGGCCTAACAATTATTGAACAGATCTATAATTACCGGTACCATGGTTATAGAGAGTCAGATATCAAAGTTTTGCATAAATTTGTTTTGTTTTGATACTCTCTGAATAGAATGAAATAAAATTTCTGTTTAAATGTTAGAGACCATATTAATTGTGAAATGTTAAAGTTAAGTTATTGTTTACCTAGTTTAAAATGATTAAATGTTTGAAAAGGGGTACCCTACTGTAGGACTTTTTTATCATATTTCAGAGTTCATCGTTTGTTTTTTAACTCCAACGAAAGTTAAATCACCCGGAAGTATTCTTCTAGTGCTATTAAAAATGTTACTTTTACTTGGCATTAGGTTTAAACAATCACAAGTGGAATAAGGTCCTCACTGCAGCAGACCTGTAAACTAATTGACTTTCAATATTAAGCTACCTATTAAATATTTCCATTAACTAGACATATTTATTTAATTTTCATCTTATCAAATTAGCCTACTCCGGTGCTAGGCAAAATATGGTTATTTTTTTAATTCAAAACTTCTAATAGGAGAAGCACCTGGGTTACAAGAGAAAAAATGGGTACCGTACCGGTGGACCTATTAAGAGAGTTGTAATTTGTATCGGCCTATTTGTAGTGGCCTAGGCCTATATATATATATATATGAATTTGAACGGGTGGTGTTTTTGGCCTCTAGGGACCTCAAAGCAAAAAAGTAAATCGGTCCCGGGTCCAGGTCTTACCATGAGTAGGCCCTTACGGTAATAGCTAATGGTACGCCAAAGATGGTAGCCAAAGAGCTACATAATATTATGTAGATTCGTTAATCCTGAAGTTGTTTTGTGTTTTACTTGGGTTAGTGCGGCTTTAATTTAACCGAACAATCCTTGAAATGATATAATAGGTAACAAATATTCACTATGTAGGAAAAAATTAGGCCTAGGTATTTTTACCATTAAAACGTGTTAAAAAGTAAGAGAACTTTCTTTTCCTCTACAAAACGTACTTACCTCTACACCGATTCCATCAGATGGCTTACTTAGTGTCGTCCTATGTTTCTAAATGCTGTGAAATGTTTCATTACTCCATTATTTGTTACTAGGTGAAACCCGTCGAAATCGACGGTTACTTTCAAGGCTTACGTTAATTCATCTAGGCCTAACTGTGATAAATTGGGTGAAATATACATATTTTGAGCATTTAGCATTGTTTAAAGAGTAATTAGTGTAAAAACAATAATGATATTAATTGCATGAGTTGCCAAATTTGGTTGATCATTCAATGATTAAATTATTTCCTATACTGTACATCATCGGAGTTATTATTAGTACGTTAGGCTATATGGTATCTATTCCTTTGGAAGAACCCTTAAATAGTATTAAAATCGTATTGGTGGATCTTTTGTAGTTAAACACTTCCGTGATTTCATCAGTGTAATATTTTATTTGAAAAGAAAATATTTTTTGGGAAGACTTATTCTAACTTTAAAGGGAGGTATATCCGTTACAGTGTAAGTTTGATTTTCCTTCGTAATGTCGCGTCAGTTCATATCGTACTTCTGTGCCAATGAATGAACCCTCTAGCATAGTTTTGAGAAATTGGTTGTGGGGTTACTGTTAAAGCTGGAATTCCTTGACATGGGGGTATCAGTTAGTTGTCTCAGCCTTATCAATTACATAAAGTTATCAATATAATTTCTCTACCGAATGTTAGGTGTAGTGGAATACTTGAAGTGAAGTTGGCTTTTATTCTTGAACTGTTAGGGGCCTCCTTGTTCATATGGTCTTGGCGGCTTCAATTGGCAACAAATAATGCAAATGACATAGCAATGGGACATTTCCAAAAAGCAAAAATACTGTAAATTGGCTGTATATATTGACGTTCACATATTGTTAATCAACGTATCTTAAAGGATTATATGATTTAGTTTAAAAGGAATATGACCGATCTGTCATGCCAGTAGCTGCTTAAATAGTATTTTCTCTTTGTACCATATTTTACAGCCAAAATGTCGTATTATTTTCGATAATGTTACCAACCCAGTGCGCCAAAGTCCATAATATAGGCAGGTGCAAATAATTTGTCAACTTGGGTGCCATTTTAGGCAATGTTTCTATGTTTGGATTTTATTAGACACGATAAGAGCAGATATTTCGACATGAATATTAGATATGTGTAGAATAATATAACAAAATGTAGGCAAAAGTGGTGAAAAAGGCAGACACTAACCCGTACAATAGATATAAGATAGTTCAATAAGAAATAATTTAAGAATTGCTGTGATAAAAGGATTTTCCACTGATTTCGTAATGGAACGTTATATTGCAAAACATGACATGATAAAGAAGAAAATCAATTTTAAAATCAGAAAATAACATTGCACATACTTATTTGGTAGAATCAGAATTCAGTAACTTCCAATAAATATGTGTTGTTTCAAATACAATTTAAAAATGAACAGCTGTTTCATTAACAAATATTATTCACATGGCCAAAATGTAAACAACTCTGTGGAAGGATCTTTAAAGGCTTCTGGGGCAGAGTCCTAAGGGATTTTGCTTAGTTTTTCTCTTGATAACTCATCTACAAACCAAGACCTTTCTTTAGACACCTCTACCAAGTTTCTACGCCCAGCCGTTCTCTCAAATTAGTGGGGACAAAGTTTCCAATTAAATATTTAGATTCGCCCATGTTAATCTTATGGGAGAAACTCCAACTTTGATGGCCTGTGGGGCAAAGCCCGAGGACTTTTATTACAGGAATTGTTGAAAGGGGGCGTCTACACAAAAAATACTTTATTTTGACACGTCGTTTGTAAAAATCCGTCCATTATTAACGGAGGAGTAGTGTTTTGTAGAAATCGCCTTCACGTATTATATATAAGGATTATGATTTTTCATTTGGAAATATAGCCTCTGGATTGTTATTGAACATGATTAAATCTAAGGCTTACCTTACGATCCAATTTATTATAGTGGAGATCCAGGTCTCCACTATAATAAATTGGATCGTAAGGTAAGCCTTAGATTTAATCATAATTTTTCAGAAATTTTGATTATTTTTGTGATCTAGCCAGGGTGTAAAATTCCTAAATTAATTGACTGTGAAGTATTAAATGTTTGCTAGATACCACAAAAAATCGTCAACAATTGTTTGTTGTTTTACAAGACTTCATTACCGTAATTTGACTGATTGAGTGATTGAATTTAAACACTTAAATATTTGCTTCAAAATATCAGATTTTATTCCCTATTTAACCATTAGGTTTAACAGACTTGACCTACATGACTTATAATTCCGTGAGTTCCTAGGTGGAACATTGTTCAATGAATTCTCTGTTTGTGATAACCATCGATGTATAATAACTCTACGTGATAACAGTAGGCAACCAAATGATTTGAGAGGTGAGGAGTCTTACCGTACTTTACTACTAACTTTGCATATATCA